TTTTCATTAATTAATTTTTACCTGTAAATATCCATTAAGAGTAACATTTGATTATTGAACAAAATATTTAGATCGTTTATGTTTATTTACTAAGATCTTATTTAATATTAATATTTCTTGAACAATCCAATCTTATTTGATTTTTTTTGAACACTTTTAAAACATAATTATCCCTATTAGTCATTTTTCCATTTAAACTAGGATAATATGATACGATTATTGTCAATTTGTTATGATGAACTATATAATTATATTGTGTTAGGAGGCCAAAATAGACTCCATGAGCAATTGAGCATTGAAAGTGCTGTCAAACACGAGAACCCTAATCCAAAATTCAGAATGTATTGTAGGAAAAACAAGTAAATAGAATAGAGATCGTAATTGAGGCCTTCGTAATCGTATGCAAGCAAATTTGCGCCAGTAGGAAGATTCTCTGAAGCAACGCTACCATATTCCCTGTCTTTTCTTTTTACAATATCGTTTGTTTTTGGTCTAATTCTACCGATCCAACACCATCTCCTGTTCTTTCTGTCAACGGAGAAAAAAAGGGGTTTCATCGTTGCCCCAATTTCATACATACATCATAAAGGTAAACAACTAGAAGAAGATACATAAAAAAACAGTCGATTGAATTTCGGCAGCCATGGGACAAGTTTTTCGCAAGCTCTTCGATGCATTCTTCGGCAACAGCGAGATGCGGGTACTCTTTCCGTTTCACTCTTCCATTTAAATCGATTTTTGTGTTATCTCCGGTTATGCAGTTGTAGTTTGTGTCTATCTCGTTGATTAAACGTCGTAGGTAATCATTTTGTAATTTGAATCTAGGGTTTTGTACTCGTATTTAGCAAACTGAGCTGGATTGAACTAGGCCAATCTACAATCTTCCCATATTTCAGTCGTGAACTTTGAGAACAATCACAAATTAAACTGAATCTTATAGTTTTCTGTATCCTTATCACACCTTCTTTTTGTTATGTAAGTTGTTTAAATTGGTTTTGGCACATATAGGTTGTGATGCTGGGGTTAGATGCAGCAGGGAAAACAACCATACTGTACAAGCTGCACATTGGAGAAGTTCTATCAACTGTCCCTACTATTGGTAAGCCATCATGAAATCATGCTAAATTGTCTGATGTCAATGGTGCTATTCTCTGTAGTCTGTATATTCATTGCTTAATGGTAATCCCTAAACCACAAAACATGCTATGTATAATGAATGTATTACAAATCAAATAATTGGTGTATCTTTGAAATGAATTTCTCTTTGTGGCAGGTTTCAATGTGGAAAAAGTTCAGTACAAGAATGTGATGTTCACGGTTTGGGATGTTGGTGGGCAAGAAAAGCTAAGGCCCTTGTGGAGGCACTACTTCAATGACACAAATGGATTGGTAAGAATAACCATAATATTTTTTCCTCTGTTTAAGGTATTTTTTTGATTTAACAAGCTGCTTTTAATCTTTTATGAAATAAAGTAAGTTATCCCCTCTTGTTGTTGGGATAAGATGTCATGATCTTTAAAATATGTAGTATACTGAGATTATTATTTCCAGATTTATGTTGTTGACTCTTTGGATCGAGAGAGGATTGGCAGAGCAAAGGCAGAGTTTCAGGTATTATAATTGTATTTTGTATATTATCATGCAACTATTTTTCTTAGATTGCAGTGTTCCTCATCCTATCTGTTTGCATTTTATCCTCAGGCTATTATCAATGACCCTTTCATGACCAACTGTGTCATCTTGGTGTTTGCAAACAAACAGGACATGGTATGCTTTACACATTTGTATTGTTTCATTTCATTAAATTGTTGTAAATCATTTCAACTAGTTGAAGTCATTATTTTTAGTCACGGATAAGGGAAATATTGTTGATGACAATATTTCCAATCCATGGGTCTATTGTGTCAATTATCATAAGTTTAGGGGCTCTAAGCATATGTTACAACAACCCTTTTTTTGAAGAATATAATGTACAAGGTACTTGTGCACAACATAGTTGAGCTATCAGCTACGAACTTGATTAATGTTGTTCCACTTGGCTGAATATCTTACACTTGATTGGTTGGTTACAGAAAGGAGCAATGACAGCTATGGAGGTGTGTGAAGGGCTGGGGATGTATGAACTGAAAAACAGGAAATGGCATATACAAGGCACGTGTGCTCTTAGAGGGGATGGTCTATACGAGGGTCTGGACTGGCTGGCTAGCACTCTAAAGGATATGAAGGCGGCTACCACCTCATCATCTTTCTGATTAAAAACCAAACCAAACCATGAATGAATGAATGAATACTCTCATCACCCATGTTCACTCTTTTTTTTTTCTTCTTTCTTTCTTTTTCTTAAGTATGATATGTATATTCAGAACATATATCAGAGGCTTGGATGGACGCATGGCACCCTATTGGCATAATGTAAAGAAGAAAAATTACTGCTACTGCTACTGCTGTGTGTGTGTGTGAGTGGGTGTTTTGTTTTATTCAGATCTCTAATCAGTTACCACGTATTTTCTTTTCTGTCACTTGATGTTTTTAAAACCGATGCTTATAGCTGTCTAGTGTTATTATACTTCTCCATCCATACCCCTATTATCACTGGTTGCTAAACAAACAGATACATATACGTACATGCTTATACTTGTCGCATGCATGTTTACACGTTTACTTCCAAACAAGTAAAATATTTTGTATCCCTTTTACTTATGAAATGCCACATTGTGTTTTCCATTTCCATATACTTATACCCACATATTAGCAACATATAGATACAAATACTACGCCTATACAAAGTACACAATATCATATTTTGCTATATATTACGTTTACTTCATCAAAACCTCATTCGTACAAACAAAGCTTTTGGCAGTACATGCATGCCATTTTCATGAAAAAACTATCAAAATCCTTTTTACATAAAAAAACTTCAGTCCAGTAACCATTTTTTATCAACATTCCCATCTACAACACCTTACCTTGCCATTACCTTTCACCTCATTCCCAGATTTTGACCGCTTTTTTAACCTTCACTTTTGTTTTACCTGTCGCCTCATCACCAACTATTACACCTGCTTCGCCTTTATGATCAATTTTCAATCATTCCATCATTATCATCTAAACCCATGTCAGCTTCTTTGATATCAATCCATCTTGAAGCCACTCATGCAACTTGTGTTGGTGATTTTAGTGTCATGTTGTTTTAGTATAATAAAATTTAGAGATTACCAATGGAGTTTAATTCTTGATTTTATTACAAGTTAGGAGTAGTGGAGTGCACGTTTGTATAAAACAAACTTGATCTTGGCACGACCAAATGGCAGGAGTCAAGGGGGCTACTCCTCCTTGTAGGGTCCTAGGGGCAACGCTCCTGGTGGGGTGCGGGGCAGTGCCATGGCTGGCAAATTTATTTATTAAGGAAAATGTTATGGGAAATCGTATTTTCGAAAATATATTCTTCATAATTATCCTTTGAACCCACATCATTCATTTATGAGATAAAATCAATATTTAATGCTAATTGATACTTACTTTTGGTAATCAGAAGAATTTGAATCCTATATAAACTCTAGTTCGTGGCCTCATATCAGTGCCTTGATACAAGACTGTTCCATGAAGGATTATCCCTATAATCTAGATTTTGTGTAACTTAGGCATAAGGTTGAAATATCATATTCGGGAAGTGTTCACATGATTCTTCAAGAAGATCCAAGTTCTCATCAAATTCAAAAACCGTATTCTCCTCCCTACCCCCAACAACTTGCATCCATAATGTTCAATTAATGCACTTATCCTATCCTCACATAACCATGATTTATGAAATCCCTAAACACTAAAGGAACATCATTACCCTTTAGAAAATGGCTTGCTCAAAACACAATAATAAACATCAAGGGTTGGTTCTTTAACAAATTCACGAATAAATAAAGCAAAGCTACCATTCTCTACAACGATGAAATCCTCGTTAGTGTACGTACCAATTTGGGCATCCGTGTAGCTTAAGGGATTTGGAAGGAAGGTGCCTGAGTGATGTATGTCCACTGTCAATGTTGTAGGAGAACCAACATGGGGCCATTGATGGACTCGAAGACATTATGATAATAACGAGCTTTTATCAAGATCATGGTTTTTCAAAATACGTATAAAATTAGACAAAACGTACCTTCCTTAATGGTTTGGAGCTTATTGTTGTGATCACCTTTGTTTTCTACTAAAATATTGATTGTTACCTACACTAACTAAAATAGAACACAACACTTATTGAATGGGCTTAAGGCTTTTAAAAAAAATAAAATAAATAAAGTATTACATTTATGGTTACCAACTCATAAAAACAAAATGGATAAAAAAATTTCACAAAACCACCATGGACTACAAAGTACAAGAAAATGAGTCTGTAGCAATAAATGCGTAGACCTTTTCAACTAAGAAATTTTTTTTTTAGAAAAAGTGATATAGTCATTTTATATCGGTTAAAGGCAAAAAAGATGAGATTTGTAAACTATAAGGCTTGGGGGGAGTGATAATATATATCATCTTGCCATATGTGAGGGAGTGATGCATTGTGACAAAAAAGAGAGAGGAAGAGATAAAGTGGAAGAAAGATAAAGAGAGACATGATTCGATGTATCAATGTCATTTGAACTTGTCATCTACCGTGTTTAGGGGACGACATATGCAACGTCGGGTACTGCATATATGCCACCTCCTCTTTTACCAGACTCATCCCGCTCCCCCAAATCTAAGGATGTGAACTATCAACTTTCCCAAACTCCAACTACAAAATAAACAAACGGTACGTACCATTTATGTAATTTACTTTATTTTTAGATAGTAGATAGATTTAAAAACTTTATAATTCTATTATAAATATTATTACTTGAATGTTCTATTTATAGGAATAAAAAAGTAGAGTTAATAAAACTTATGTAATTAAAAAAAACTGATTACATAATTTACTGCTATATATCTTAATTACCAATATTACCCTAAAAATGTTGAAAGGTTGGGTTTTGACCTAAAGATTCAACCTTTTTGGAGGGAGAAGCAACAAAAATCTGTGATCTTTTTAGCCACCTTTCATTCATCGACGGCCTGTGGATCATCATCTACAAAACCTTCTCATAATCCGCCAAAAATTGAACGCCTTCTGTTGTCCATCGCTTGTACATATAAAACACACACACACACATACATACTCGATGACGATTAGTTCTCCGTTTCTGTAAAATCTTTGTAAAACCCACAGGAGGATGGCGTTCACCTCTGGAATCTTAGCTTTTGCAGCACCTTCACCAACATTGAATGTCATCAACGATTCATCCAAGGTACGCAAAACCATAACTTCTTCTCATATTTCCTGCTCAGCCTCTTCTTCTTCTTCCGTAACCAGTGAGATTACAACTATCGAACAACAAGAACCTTCCAAGAAATTTAGCTACAGCAGAGCATCCCCGTCAGTCAGATGGCCTAACCGAAAAGAACCAACCGATAATCATAACACAGACAAAACCCAGTTCCCAATTTCACTCACAACCCCCAAACTTGATGTTTTTGAAGATGAATCTTTGACTGGTAACGAAATTGAAGGAAAAGTGGAACCGTTGGAAATGAATAACGAAACCCTAGAATATCCGGGTAGGAATAGCCGCGGAGTGGCAAAGAAGATGACGAAATTAGCTTTGAAAAGAGCAAAAGATTGGAGACAAAGAGTTCAATTTTTAACTGATCGAATATTAGGGTTGAAATCTCACGAGTTTGTCGCCGATGTGTTGGACGATAGACAGGTTCAGATGACGCCTACTGATTTCTGTTTCTTAGTGAAAGGAATCGGGAAATTAAACTGGCAAAGAGCGTTGGAAGTTTACGAATGGCTAAACCTTCGTAATTGGTACTCCCCAAATGCCCGTATGCTCGCCACCATACTAGCTGTTCTTGGTAAAGCCAATCAAGAAGCATTAGCCATGGAGATTTTCAATCGATCAGAAGAAGGAATAGACGGTAGCGTACAAGTTTACAATGCAATGATGGGTGTTTATGCCAGAAACGGAAGGTTTACAAAAGTTCAAGAAATCCTCAATCTAATGCGTGAAAGGGGATACGAACCAGATCTTGTCAGTTTCAACACATTAATCAATGCCCGATTTAAATCCACTCCAATGGAACCAAACATGGGAATTAATCTGCTAACTGAAGTAAGACGTTCAGGTCTCCAACCAGATATCATCACTTACAACACTCTGTTAAGTGCTTGCTCTCATGATTCCAACTTGGAAGAAGCAGTCAAGGTCTATAAAGACATGGAATTAAACAAATGTCAACCTGATTTATGGACTTACAATGCGATGTTATCTGTTTATGCAAGATGTGGATTAGTTCATGAAGCTGAATCACTGTTCAAAGACTTGGATTCAAAAGGGTTTGTCCCAGATGCAGTCACATATAACTCTTTACTCTATGCGTTTGCTAAAGAAGGGAATGTGGATAAAGTTATTAAACTACGTGAAGAAATGGTGAAATTAGGGTTTGGAGAAGATGAGATGACCTACAATACTGTTATTCATATGTATGGGAAGTTAGGGCAACATGAATCGGCTTTGAAGCTCTATAATGACATGAAATCACATGGTTGTGAACCTGATGTTGTGACATACACTGTTCTTATTGATTCTTTAGGTAAAGGTAATAAGATTTCTGAAGCTGCAAACGTGATGTCAGAAATGATGGATTCTGGGATTAAACCGAGTTTGAGAACTTTCAGTGCTTTGATATGTGGATACGCGAAGGCTGGAAAGAGACTCGAGGCTGAAAAAACGTTTGATTCCATGGTGAAATCGGGTATCAAGCCTGATCTTCTTGCTTATTCAGTCATGTTGGATGTGTTTTTGAGATTTGATGGAGGTAAAGCTATGATGTTGTATAACAACATGGTTCGTGATGGTTTCATCCCAGATTTATCTCTTTACGAGCTCCTAATCCAATCTCTTAATGAAAACAAAGATTATGTTGAAAAAATTATTAAAGATATGCAGAAGTTATGTAATTTGAATCCCCAAGTCATTTCCTCTACTCTAGTGAAAGGTGGGTCCTACGATTATGCAGCTAACATGCTGAAAAACGCCATTTTAGAGGGTAATGATTTAGATCATGAGAGCTTGTTATCCATATTAAGTTCTTATAGTTCATCCGGAAGGCATGTGGAAGCTTTAAATTTACTTGATTTTCTGAAAGAACATTCACCCGGATCGGATCATATTGTTACAGAAGCTATGATTATGCTTCTTTGCCATTCCAATCAATTAGATGCTGCCATTGATGAATACAGAAAGAGTCGGAGTTCTAATTCAAATTTGTTCTCTGGGAGCTCTTCAATGTATGAATCACTGATTGAAGCCTGCAAGGAGGCTGAGCTTTTTTCAGAAGCTTCTCAGGTCTTCTCAGATATGATGTTCATCGGAATTCAACCTTCTAATGTTATATACACAAATGTCGCTCTTATGTACTGTAAATTAGGGTTTCCAGAAACCGCTCATGATTTGATCAATCGAGCTGAATCAATCGATGAGATTTCAGTTTATGTGGATCTTATCGATGCTTACGGAAAGTCAAACCTACTGGAAAAGGCAGAGACTGTGGTCAAAAGTCTTCGAGAAAGATTTCCTGTTGTAGACAGAAAAGTTTGGAATGCGTTAATACAAGCTTATGCTTCAAAAGGTGAATACGAAAAGGCGCGAGCAGCTTTCAATACTATGATGAAAGATGGGCCGGGTCCCACTGTAGAATCGGTAAACGGGCTTATGCAAGCTTTAATTGTTGATGGGAGATTAGACGAATTGTACGTTGTGGTTGAAGAGCTTCAAGATTTAGGGTTTAAAATCAGCAAAAACTCCATTGTTTTGATGCTTGAAGCGTTTGCAGAAGCTGGGAATGTGTTCGAGGTGAAGAAGATATACCATGGAATGAAGGCAGCAGGATATTTTCCGACTATGAATCTTTATAGAGTAATGATCGGTTTGCTTTGTAAGGTGAAACATGTTCGTGATGTTGAAGCTATGGTTGATGAAATGGTGGAAATCGGATTCAAACCCGATCTTTTTATATTCAATTCTTTACTCAAATTATATACAAACATCGAAGATTATAGAAAAACAATTGAAGTTTACCACAAGATTCAAGAAAATGGACTTAAACCGGATTCCGATACATACAATACTTTGATCGTAATGTATTGCAGAGACCATAAACCCGAGATTGGGTTGTCTTTACTTAATGAAATGGTCAAACAAGGTTTAGATGCAAAGTTGACCACCTACAAAAGCCTGATTGCCGCCTTTGGTAAGCTACAAATGGTGGGACACGTGGAGGAGCTTTTTGAAAAGGTGAAAAGTGAAGGGTATAATCTGGACCGTTCATTTTATCATTTAATGATGAAAACATATAGAAGTGCTGGACACCATTCTAAATCGGAAGAGATTTTCAAATTAATGAAAGAAGAAGGAATCGAACCCACGATTGCTACGATGCATCTTCTTATGATTTCTTATGGAAGCTCGGGAAACCCCATGGAAGCTGAAAAAGTTCTTGATAATTTGAAGTCCAGTGGCGAGAGCCTCACTACTTTAACCTATTCATCTGTTATCGATTCTTATTTCAAGAACAGTGATTATGTCACCGGAGTTCAAAAGCTTACAGAGATGATGACAGAAGGGGTCAAACCAGACCACCGGATATGGACCTGCTTCATTAGGGCTGCTAGTTTCTGCAAGACGAAAAGTGAAGCAATAACAATCTTGAATGCAATCAAAGATGCTGGTTTCGATCTTCCAATCAAGTAAGTCTGATCTGACTATAAGCTTTCATGTTTTTAAAATCTCAATTCGTAACTCAAATCTTGTGTTTCACAGGCTTTTGGAAAACTCAGACTCCATGGTTATGGAGATGGACCGGGTTTTTGAAGAACTGAAACCCATGGAAGATAACGCAGCACTTAACTTTGTAAACGCCATTGAAGATCTGTTATGGGCATTTGAGCTTCGAGCCACCGCTTCATGGGTGTTTCAGCTGGCGGTGAAAAAAGATATATACCGGAATAACGTGTTCAGGGTGGCGGAAAAGGACTGGGGAGCTGATTTCCGGAAGCTATCTGGTGGTGCCGCCCTCGTTGGTCTTACATTATGGCTTGACCAGATGCAGGATGCATCTTTAGAGGGTGTCCCGATGTCTCCCAAATCGGTTGTTTTAATCACCGGGGTTTCTGAGTATAACAATGTCTCGTTAAACACTACTTTGAAAGCTTATCTTTGGGAAATGGGATCCCCGTTTTTGCCATGTAAGACTCGAAGCGGGCTACTCGTGGCAAAAGCTCATTCTTTAAGAATGTGGTTGAAAGATTCACCGTTTTGTTTGGATCTCGAGTTGAAGAACAGTGTTAGTGTCCCTGAAATGAACTCGATGCAAGTTGTTGAAGGGTGTTACATCAGGCGTGGGCTTGTTCCTGCTTTTCAAGAGATTAATGAGAGGCTTGGGCCTGTTAGGCCCAAGAAGTTTGCTCGGTTGGCTTTGATGTCGGCTGAGAAAAGAGATAAAGTTATCCAGGCTGATATCGATGGGAGGAAAGAGAAGCTAGAGAAGTTGAACAGATTCGGGGGTATGAGGAAGACGCGGTTTCCCAAGAGGAAATATGTAAGGCAGGAGGCTCTCAAATAATGAAAACCGACTCAATATTCACCCAAAACTAACTTGATAGAGGTAGCCAACAAATTTGGGCTAAGAATTGGGTCTGCGGGTGTTGCAATGCTGAACCCGGGGATTCTTAAGATGTTGATAAAGGAAGAGGAGGGTTTGTTTGACCCAAGGAAGCGAAAGTTGAACAAAACAAGTATGACATTCACAATCACATAGGTTCGCTTGTTTTTGACGCATCCATGTACGATTAATGGGTCAATATCGTGTTTTACTTTCTCGTATAGTAATCATTAGTTACAAATGTAGTTATAACAGCATACATGTCTGCTCCCTACATTACAAGATTTATGGTTGAACGTTGTAATTGAGTCAATCCAACTCGTGACATACTAGAAAAATACTCAAAATGGCTTGAGCTACTCTAGTATGTTATCGAGTCGAGGCCGAGTTTTAAAATACTTGGCACGTGAAGCTCATGAGCATATTCAAGCTTAGTTGAAGTTGCATTTTCTCTATTTGATTCATATTTACATATTCAAGCCAAGTTAAGCCTAATCGTATTTCTATTACAATTTAATATACTTCCATATTTATAATAAATAATCGACGTATTTCTATTACAATTTAATATACTTCCATATTTATAATAAATAATCGACGTATTTCTATTACAATTTAATATACTTCCATATTTATAATAAATAATCGAGTCGAGCTCAAAAGTGTCAATTACTTTAAGGAGCTTGAGTTGAGTTTTTGAGCTTCAAGTATGTTACTCACTGAGCATGACATTATATCAACTCCACTTTCTTCACCTAACCTAAAAAAGTTTATTATGGGCTAATAATCATTCTTACTGACACAACAATGCCATCTACCTGTGCACTAATGTGCCCCATATGTTTGTTACTCCACCTAATGGCACACGATAGTCCAGCCAAGACGGCATGGATCTTACCTACTTATTTGTTAGATCAACCCGACAAGTTTGGCTCATCGGTGTGGCCAACCTGATGAGCTAAAACCCACCCGTTTCTGTGCGTATCCGTGAGTCTAAAAATATGCCGTTTAATGTATATCTACATCCCTAGGTGAAGCATGATGTAGATGTCATAGTATGTGAAACGCACATGAATATAATATCAATGTCTTGAAGAACCTCATATGGAGTACATATGCAATTGGGACAATAATTTGATCATATCCGATGGTTATTGTAGCAGATTAAAAGTTTTGAGTTGGGTGGAGTGATAAGAATAATGTGGTTAAATAAATATGAGAAGGTTGAGATAATAGAATGCTAATCGTTGTATCACTTGTATGTGATCTTTAGTGGTACGTGCCCATTAGGGATGAACATGGTGCGATTTTTACACCAAACCGAAACCGAAAACCAAAATTGCAGTTTTTATATCCATGAAACCGATAGGTGCGTTTTTTTTTTTATTATTATTTTTTATTTTTAAATTAACCGCAAATATAGAAATAGTGTGGTTTTATTTCGATGGTGTGATTATTTTTATGTCCGACCACAACTTTCAACTTTTATTTCCTTTTTTAAGTTTGACTTTTTATATGACGACTAGCATTAAATACAACATACAACAATAGATCATAAGCATCAATTCATATTATATCAATATATTTATTTTAATCTTTTTGAAGTTACAACTTACCAACTTGAACTTGCATCCAAAAGATAATAAAATAGATATAAACACACGATCCAACCACATTTTGAAATTAATAAATTCGTTTTAATTCATAACCATTAAGTCATCAACATATTGGTTTAAACTTATAATATCCATTAAAGTTCAAACTTCATCAAAAAACATTAACATGTTTTTATCACCAACAATAAAACATATAAAATAAACCACCATTAATCATAATCGCCTTGATTCTTGGAAGATTTTTTCTTGTTTTCAATCTACATAAATAAATATAAATATTAGATTATTAGTATATAAATCAAGGTTGTTAAGATCGGGATCCTACCTAGGATCGATTTTGGGTTTGCAAGATCGGGATCGAGATCCTAAGATCCCACAAAATAGAATATAATTTTAATTTATAATATTTAATCATAAAAACTATTTCAAACATTTAGTTTTTCATTCAAAAGTTATAAAAACTTCAAAATATTAGTCATAAGTCACAATAAAAAATGATAAATGGTAGATTGGTAAAGGATAAAAGGCATAAAGTGGTAAAAAAAATTCATTTGCAAAAAAAAAAAAAAAATCAAAGGAAGGTAGGATCGGATCGGATCGGATCTCGATCCTACGATCCTACCTACGATCTTACGATCTTACCTGCGATCCTACCCCAAATACGATCCTTTTACGATCCGGATCGTTTTTCATACCTAGGATCGTAGGATCGTACGATCCTACGATCAGGATCGCGATTTTGACAACTATGATATAAATCACTAGTAATAACTAAAAAAATTAAACATACCTAGTTGTCTCTTAATTAACATCACTTGGAGCACCAATTACTTTAACCTTTCTTTTCCTTTTTTCTTGTGCTCCCGTCCACATCATCATCCGCCTCGGTGCGAAAATAAGCCCTGTAAGAAGGGTCTATCATATAAAGCCTATTGAGAAAATAAAACAAACACTCGATGTTAGTTAAAGGAAAAATAATATAAATATAAAACAAATAAACATACATTTCAAACGCATTCTCATAAAGTACGACCATTTCCAACATTAAATATATTGAATTTCATCTCGTGTCAACATCAAGAGATGGCTTTTGTTTGGATTTTACTTCAACACGAGCAACATAGTCTTCAAATGTTTTATACTGGGCCGGTGATGATTGTACATACGTTACCGCATTTCGAATTCTAGTAACAACATCGAATTGCTCTTCCAAACCATCTCTAACAATAAGATTGATGATATGTGCATAACAACGGAGGTGCAAATATTTACAATCTAATATATCATTTGGTCCCTTCAACATACTCTTCAAATATCTTATAGCCCCGTCATTTGAAGACGCATTATCCACTGTTAAACACAATTTCAATCCCCCACTTTTGTATGCACTCATAAACCAAACTCCCAATGGTTTCACCCCTATGATTCTCTATAGGGCAAAAGTTTAGAATTTTCTTTTGTAAAACCCATGCATCGTTAATCCAATGAGCCATAAGACACTTATAATTCATGTTTTGAATAGATGGCCATGTGTCGGTAGTTAGGCACACTGTTTGGCCCTTCAACATCTCTTTAACTTTTTTTTCTTATTGTTTATAAATCTCTATACAGTCCCGAGCTACAGTCCATCTAGATGTCATCTTAAACTCCGGATCCAATTCCCACACAAATTCCTTAAAACCCTCATCATCAACAATGCTAAACGGTCGATTGTCTTTAATGCACATTTTGGCAAGGGTCAATCTACACTTCTCCTGGCTAAAGGAATGCTTAGCCAAAGACCCACCCACCTCGGTACATTTTGGATTAAAGCTTAATTTTGTTTGTTTCCTTGCATCTTTGTCTTTACCTTCATAAAAGGGGATGCGCCTACAAGAATTAACTAGATGGCTGAGTAATGAGGAGGTGCCATTCTCTCTAGTGCCACAAGCTAAAACCTTTTTGCAATGTGCGCATTCTGATTTTTGCGCCTTTAACATATGGAAAATGTTGCCATACAATGGATCGTAACTTAGGTTTTTCATTATTTTCTTCTTCAATATCACCTTCACCTGGGACTTCAACTCCATCTTCTTGTTGATCATCGACATTAAGTACACCTTCATTAATAGTCATGCTGAAATACATATTATGTTAGTACTCAATCAGGTGAAAACATAGTGAGTTGCAAAACAAAAAATATTATAATAAAAAAAATATTTTCTTCTTAATTTTTAGAAAATGAGAATTATAATAAACTGATCACAAAATAACAAAAAAATAGGGATGTAATAATAAATTAATAATATTACAAAACTAGATAAACCTGTATGTGGATAATAGATAATAAGATAGTGAATATCAGATAATAGATTATCACCTTTCAACTTTTAGCAAAACTGGTTAAGTGGTCAATATATTACAACTCTTTCACTTGGTTGCATGATTGAATAAAAGAATAGTCATCCTTAAGCCTTAAGGAATGGAAATTAACGAATGGAAGGAACTTGATGCCTTTAGCATTTAGGAAAGGTCCATTCCATTCCATGTAGCAATACAAACAACCTTTTCAATTCCATAAAATGGACCATTCTATTCCTTGAGTAATCACTTTTCCACATACAAATAAGATAAAATACAATAAGATTATATTTAACGACAAAAATCATATATTGAACAAAAATAATGACCAATATGTGTACGTCCTACTTAATCATGAAAGAGTAATCACTTTTATTGTCAAAAAAGAACCACCAGAGTAACAAAATAACAAAATAAAATACAGTAGATTCGAAGTGTTGGTAACCCCATTGTTGGAAAAGATATCTTCAACCAAAGATGTAACATAGTCGACTACAAGAATAGAAGAGGAAATTGAAAAAAAAACTCTACAAGAATGGTCGAATCTAGAAGAGGAAATTGAAAAAAAGACCTTACCTGAGACGAAGATGTTGGATGCTAGAATCTTGAATTGTCGAAATTGAGAGTTGTCTTCCAGTCGCCGGAGAATGCTTGATGGTTGCTGACTTGCTTCAATGGATTGATGACTTCGATCATTGGCTGCTCCAGTCGCCAGTCGCCATAAACGGAGGCTAGGGCTTTTTAGAACAAAAACTCGAATGAAAGAAATGTTGTGGAAGAACTGGAATGATCCTTTTCGTTTTGGATTTATATTTTTATTAAAAAAATAGAATATATATATATATATATATATATATATATATATATATATATATATATATATATATATATATATTCAATTAATAATAATATTTTAATATTGCAGTGCGGTTCGGTTTGCGGTTTTTTTGAATTTCTAAAACCGCACCGTTGGTTATATGTTCGGTTTCGGTTTTTCGGTATCGTTTTTTGGTTATTTTGCGTTTTTTCGGTTTGCGGTTCGGTTTTTTCTCACCCCTCTGCCCATGAAGGACATGATTATATGATGTGTTACATAGTAAAATTCTAGGGAATTTGGTGGATTGTGGCGAGACTAATAAATAGTTGAGTATGGTAATGGATATAAGAATGAAAGTCAAGGGACATGAGGTGTTAATTAAGATCATGTTTGAAGTGAAAACATAGTGTCAATATGAACATAATATGTTCATGAGTCCTCATACTTAAAATCGAGTGCAACTAATGTTTTGATAAGTGTCACGACCCAAAAATCAAGGGTAAAAATTTCATTTTTATTATAGTCAAAACACAAATATCTTTTAAATCTAAGTATTCCAAAAACATTTCTAATTAAAACATTTATCAGACTTCATCCCAAAATCACACGTTGCAGAAACACGGGTGTGTGCGCTGCGATCAAGCCAGACCATTCCTTTCAAAACCAATGATACATGAAACCATAAATAAAACTATAAGCACGAAGCTTAGTGAGTTTCCCATAACA